TCCATTCCCAACCCCTCTCCATTCCCACAGAATTCCCTCTCCATTCCCAACCCCTCTCCATTCCCACAGAATTCCCTCTCCATTCCCAACCCCTCCCCATTCCCAACCCCTCTCCATTCCCACAGGATCCCATTCCCAACCCCTCTCCATTCCCACAGGATCCCATTCCCACAGGATCCCATTCCCAACCCCTCTCCATCCCCACAACCCCCGGCTGTGCCGGAGGTGCCCCGGGATTCAGGAATGGGATGAATTCCCTGCCCTGAGGAGGGCTGGGCGTGCCCTGAGATCCCAGATCAGGGATCCCCCCTCATTCCCAGCCTTCCCTTTTCCCTCTGCCCCATTCCAGGAGGATCCGGGAAGGGTCTCCCTACGGACACCTCCCCTCCTGGAGGCTCCTCTCCGTCATCGTCAAGTGCGGTGACGACCTCCGCCAGGAGCTGCTGGCATTCCAGGTGCTCAAACAGCTCCAGGTGAGCCCGGGAAAGGGCCATGGGATCGCTCCCGGGACTGGGAGCCGTGGGAGAGACCCGGAGGTGGCGCTTCCAGGACTTGGGAATGACAGGAGAGGTCTGGAGGGGGATCAGTTCCAGGGTTGGGAGCGATGGGAGAGACCAGGAGGTGTCACTTCCAGGACTGGGAATGACAGGAGAGTTTTGGGAATGACAGGAGAGGTCTGGAGGGGGATCAGTTCCAGGGTTGGGAGCGATGGGAGAGGCCTGGAGGTGCCAATTCCAGGACTGGGAATGACAGGAGAGTTTTGGGAATGACAGGAGAGGTCTGGAAGGGGATCAATTCCAGGGTTGGAAGTGATGAGGGAGACCTGGAGGTGTCACTTCCAGGACTGGAAACCACAGGAGAGACCAGGAGGTGTCACTTCCAGGACTGGGAATGATGGGAGAGGTCTGAGGAGGGGTCACTTCCAGGACTGGGAATGATAGGAGAGGTCTGAGGAGGGGTCACTTCCAGGACTGGGAATGATAGGAGAGGTCTGGGAATGACAGGAGAGGTCTGAGGGGGGGTCACTTCCAGGATTGGGAATGATAGGAGGGGTCTGAGGGGGGGTCACTTCCAGGACTGGGAGCACTGGGAGAGGCCTGGAGGGGTCACTTCCAGGACTGGGAATGACAGGAGAGGTCTGGGGGGGGAATTTGGGATTTGGGACCCCCGGGATCCCAAGAAAATCCCCGGGATCCCAAGGAATCCCCGGGATGCTGAGGAACTCCCAGAATCCCGAGGAATTCCCAGGATCCTGAGGAATCCCCAGGATCCCGAGGAACCCCTGGGATGCTGAGGAACTCCCAGGATCCCAAGGAATCCCCGGGATCCCAAGGAATCCCCAGGATCCCGAGGAATCCCCGGGATCCTGAGGAACCCCTGGGATGCTGAGGAACTCCCAGGATCCCAAGGAATCCCCGGGATGCTGAGGAATCCCCGGGATCCTGAGGAACTCCCAGGATCCCAAGGAATCCCCAGGATCCCGAGGAATCCCCGGGATGCTGAGGAATCCCCAGGATCCTGAGGAACTCCCAGGATCCCGAGGAATCCCCGGGATGCTGAGGAACCCCCGGGATCCCAAGGAATCCCTGGGATCCTGAGGAACCCCCGGGATCCCGAGGAACCCCCGGGATGCTGAGGAACTCCCAGGATCCCGAGGAACCCCCGGGATCCCGAGGAACTCCCAGGATCCCGAGGAATTCCCGGGATGCTGAGGCCCCCCCGCTGTCCCCGCAGTCCATCTGGGAGCAGGAGCGGGTCCCGCTGTGGATCAAACCCTACAAGATCCTGGTGATCTCGGCCGACAGCGGGATGATCGAGCCCGTGGTCAACGCCGTGTCCATCCACCAGATCAAGAAGCAGTCCCTGCTCTCCCTGCTGGATTATTTCCTGCAGGAGCACGGGAATTACAACACCGAGTCCTTCCTGAGCGCCCAGAGGAACTTCGTGCAGAGCTGCGCCGGGTACTGCCTGGTCTGCTACCTGCTGCAGGTCAAGGACAGGTGGGAGAGCTCCAGGGCAGCCAATTTAGGGGATTCAGGCCTCTGGGGCCTCAATTTCGTGTCCAGAGGAAGAAATTCCCATGGTTTTTCCCCCTGGAGATTCCCTTTAGTTCGGTTTTGGGGGAAGGAACCCACAGGAAAAGGTCCCCCAAAAGCATCTCACTTAATAGTTATTAATGATTTAAAATTATTTAATTTAAATTTAATCCAGTTTAACCCCTCAACAAACAGCCTTTAAAGGCTCTCTCAGGCCTTTGGGGCCTCGGGTTTGTGTCCAGAGGAAGAAATTCCCATGTTTTTTCCCCCTGGAGATTCCCTTTAGTTCAGTTTTGGGGAGGGAACCCACAGGAACCCAAAGGAAAAGATCCCACAAAAGCATCTCAATAATGATTAATAATTATTAATTATTTATAGTTATTTAATTGAAATTTAATCCAGTTTAACCCCTCAACAAACAGCCTTTAAAGGCTCTCTCAGGCCTTTGGGACCTCAGGTTTGTGTCCAAGGAAGAAATTCCCATGTTTTCCCCCCTCGGAAATTCCCTTTAGTTCGGTTTTGGGGGAAGGAACCCAAAGGAAAAGATCCCACAAAAGCATCTCACTGAATAATTAAGAATTATTAATTATTTATAGTTATTTAATTGAAATTTAATCCAGTTTAACCCCTCAACAAACCCTTTTAAAGGCTCTCTCAGGCCTTTGGGGCCTCAGGTTTGTGTCCAGAGGAAGAAATTCCCATGTTTTCCCTCCTCGGAAATTCCCTTTAACAACAGATTTGGGGAAAGGAACCCACAGGAAAAGGTCCCACAAAAGCATCTCACTGAATAATTAAGAATTATTAATGATTTATAATTATTTAATTTAAATTTAATCCAGTTTAACCCCTCAACAAACCCTTTTAAAGGCTCTCTCAGGCCTTTGGGGCCTCGGGTTTGTGTCCAGAGGA